TAGGCAATCGCTGAATATGGAAATGAATTTACTAATAGGTGAGAACTGGTCAATATCCACAGGGCAATAACTTTTAATGATTAGAATCACCTCTTAGGGGACAGGACGAGGCATCAGCTGCATCTTCACCGGACGACCTTCACTTGCAACTTTAATGGATGAGAATCATTTGATTACTATCAGTTTTCTATAACTTCAGAGTTGTAAAATAATCCAGTCAAAGACAGTGGAAGGCATAGACCCCTATAGAATCAGGTAACCCGGTGGGGCCTTAGGACAATGCCAGCATTCCACTGAAAGAACACCTATCAGTGTTTTGCTGATTGCAGTCTTTCAGTTTTTCCTGACAGCAAAGTGATGGGCAAAGTAGTGAGTCCTCATCTTGGAGACTGAAATGGAGAAGGAGGATCTTCAGTAAATGAGAAAGGAGATACCCTGTTCTCATCTTCTCATTCTCTATCCTGAGTCTGGCCTAGAAGGAGTCTTCATGGCCAGGAATGCATTCCTGGGAATGGGAGGGAAAAATGGCTTTGTCATGAAGAAGCAGGATGGGAGCTGGGGAGATTCCTTGCTGTGTTTGACAAGCTAAAGAATGAGTGGATCTCATCCTGTAATGCAGATTATTTATTTTTATATCATTTGCTTTACTTACGTATTTTTTGGTTCTTTTGTTAACCCTTCTTTTTAGCAAAGTCTTTCTTTTTTTTCCAATGTCTTTCAGGCTGGCCTCAGATAGGTGGCCTCAGATAGGTCATTTAAAAAAATAGGCTCGTGTTTTCCTCAGTCATAGAACTAAGTAGGAAGTAGTATCTCCAAGGCCACTGGGGTAGTGATGATAATTAATGAGAGCCCCCCCCACCTCAACCCTGGCCCCCTGGGGACCACACAGTCATGTTTCCTTTACTGAGAAGTCTCTACAGTGCCTACCTTAAAGAATCTGGAGCATCTTTATTAGTTTAGTAAAGTGCTTTTTTTCTTCCCTCATTATTATTTTTTTAATTGTAAGGTTTTTTAAACTTACAGCACTAGATGGGATTTAATTAGTTAGTAGAGAAATAGCGTTTGCATTAATTTGAAACATCTATTCATAATTCTGTATTATTGCAGTTTCAATTCTTTCTCATATTACCGACTAATTTAGTATAAAGTTATGAACATTTGCTGATTCAGTGCCTTGACATTTGTTAGTTATCGCAAGTTCTGCGTAAATGAGAAGCTGGATTGAAGAGTGCTAATAAGGATTCAGAAACATAATTTACGGTTCCCTTATATTAGAAGCCTAAGTGTCATTTCTCTGATTCTCTTTTCCATAATAGTTGACACTTAACATGCAGACAAGGCCCAGCACTTGGAAAAAAACATACATAGATGAGACGGGTAAATTCTTATAATGATCTTTGTGTCTCGTGATATAAAAATTTACAACTGCAGGATTAGGCAGATAGTGAATGCAATTGGCCTTTGATGTTGAGTGGACAGACTCAACAGATTGACCTTCCGGTTCCAGCTCTGCTGCTTTAGTGTGAACATGAGAAAAAGATATTCTCTGTGATCTTAATCTGTAAAATACATTCTTTGAGCTAATCTTTATTGAGTCATTGTTATGTTGTAGCAAGACATGGTCCACGCCCTCAAAGAGCAGAAGACATGCACGTCAATAAATAAGTACAGCCGAGTATGACAGCACTGTGCGTGACTTCATAGAGGAGGTGCTGCTTAAAAGGATTCTTCCAAAGAGAGGTATCCTCTCCAGGCAGAACAGGTGAGGGACAGAGGCAAGGGGAGGGAGAGAGAGGTTGTTCAGAGGAGGGTATCAGCGACAGAAACAAGAGCACAGAGGCACGAACAAGATCCCCGAATTTGAGTGTGTGAGCTTCGTGCAATGAGAAACAAAAAAGTGGGTAGCAACCAAATCTTGAAGAGTCTGGTATTAAGAAAGTTTGACTAAAAGGTCTCTAATGCTTTCTCTAGCTTCAATTCTGATCTAAGATATTGTTAATGAATGATAAGGAGTTAATATGTTCCGATTAATCTAAGCAGTTCTTGTATTCTATAGTGACAGCCAAGTAATTAGATTGACCAAGACTATGAGTTCCCTTGTGTAACTTTCAGCCTTTGCAGCCATTAAAGGGCAGGAAATAAATACAGTGCAAATAACTTTGGTCAAATCTCTCTTTTGGACTTCATCCTTCATGTTACCATCTACATTTCTTCTTTTTTTTAATTGTGGAAATTTTCAAACGTAAAAAAAACAAACAATAGGATAATGCACTTCCATTACGCAGCTTCAGCAATTATCAACACTCTTGTTTTATTTATTCCTTTTCTCATATCCCACTCCTCATTCATTTATTATGATTGTTACTGTCATTATTATTCTGACTATTTTTAGGTATCATTTACATATATTGAATGTACAAATCCTAGCTATAGGCTTTTGACAAACAGATAGACTTGTGTAATCTACATCCAATCACAATACGAAACATTTGCATCTTCCTCCAAATTTCCCTTTTATCCCCTTTTAATCTCTCTCTAGTCCCACCCCTACCACTAGCTGAAAAGACAAAGCAAATCATTGCCCTAATATTTTTGTCTACCTTAGGCTAGTTCTGCCTGTTTTAGAACTCATATGATGGAATCTCCTGTATGTACTCTTTTGTTTCTGGCTTCTTTCCCTCCGCTTATTATCTGTGAGATTCGTCTATGGTGTCGCATCCATCAGTAGTTTCCACCTTCGTATTGCTTTGCAACATTCTGTTCTGTGCATTTACCACAATTTCTTTTGTCAAGGGACATTTTGGTTGTTACCAGTTTTGTGCTATTGTGAATGAAGTAGCTGTGTACATCCTTGTATATGTTGTTTTGTAAGGATGTTTTAATGTATGTTAGAAAAACCTCTAGGACTGGAATCACTAGGTGTATGTTTAACTTTATAAGAAACAGCCAGTTTTCCAGGGTGGTTATACCAGCAAGGTATGAGACCTATAGCTTCTCTTCATCCCTGCTAACATTTGATATCGTCTATCTTTTTGGTGGGGCTGGGGGTGGTGGTAGGTGATTAGGCTTATTTAATTCCTTTTTAATGGAGATACTGAAGATTGGACCCAAGACTTCATGTGTGCTGAGTATGCACTCTACCACTTGAGCTGTACCCTCTCTTCTGATATGGTCTATCTTTAATATTAGCCATTCTCATGAGTATGTAGTGGTATCTCATTGTTGTTTTTATTAGCATTTCCTTGATGCCTAGTGATAATGATGTTGAACATTTTTTCATGTGCCTATTGGTCATTCATATATATTTTTAAATGTTAATAAAGTCTTTTGCTCATTTTTAATTGGGTTATCTTTTTATTATTAAGTTATGATAGTTACTTATATATTCTGGATGTAAGTTCTTTGCCAGATGTACGTTTTGTGACTGTTTTCTCCCACTCTGTGTCTTGTTAAAGTGTAGTCAGTTTACAATATTGTGTCAATTTCTGGTGTACAGCATACTGTTTCAGTCATACATATACATACATATATTCCTTTTCATATTCTTTTTCATTATAGGTACCTATAAGATATTAAAGCAGTATCTTTTGATGATCAAAAGTTTTATTTTTGATTGAGTCTAAGTTATCTAATTTTTATGGTTATGGCTTTCTGTGCCCTGTTTAAGAAATCTTTATTTAGCTTCAGATTGAGAATATATTTCCCTGTGTTTTCTTCTAAAAGGTTTATACCTTTAACTTTTGTATTTAGGTCTATGGTCTGTCCATCGCAAATGAACTTTTGTTTACGGTGTGAAATTGAGACTGAGCTCATTTTTTTCCATATGGACATCCAGTTTTAGCATTATTTGTTGGATTGTTTTGGTACATTTGTTGAAAAGCAGTTTTCCAAGTATGGGGTCTGTTCCTGAGCTCTGTTCTGTTCCTTTGATCTGCTTGTATAGCCTTACTCCAATAGTACATTGTCTTGATTACTGTAGTTTTATAAGTCTTGAGTCAGGTAGTGTAAGTAGTACAACTTTGTCATTCTTTTTCAAGATCCTTTTGGCTATTCTAGGTCTTCTGCATTTCCATGTAAACTTTAAAAGTCACCTTGTACATTTTTATTAAAAAGTCTGCTGGGATTATGAATTATTTCTAAATTGGGGGAGATTTAACTTCTTAACAGTATTGAACTCATGAACATGGTATATTTTCTATTTATTTGCGCCTTTAATTTCTCTCAGTAATGTTTTAGTATCTTTTTGCATTTTGTTAAATGCATTTTGCATTTTTTGTTAAATGTACTAGTAAGTATTCTGTATTTTGATGCTATTATAAATGAATTTTTCATTTTAATTTTTTAGTTTTTCCTGTTAATATACAGAAATGTAATTGATTTTATATATTAATCTTACTCCCTGAGACATTGCTACACTCACCAAATTTTTAACACACCTTTCCCAAGCATGACGAACTGTCTTCCCTTCATGTTTTATATGACTTTTTAGACTTGAATGTCCCTTTCTGCCCCTAGAGAGGGCCAGTATGAATGCCACGGCATTTGCGAAGTCTTCTGACACTGCCCCAGTTGGATTCCAATATTCCCTCCCCTGGGAGTCTCTATTAGAGCACTTTCCACTTTGGGTTTTGTATGAGACATTCTTTGAAGGCAAGAACTGTACTTCATCTCCTTTTTTTTATCCCCAAAATAGCTAGTATAGTGCCTTGGTTCACAGTTCAGGAATGTATCTTTTCAACATTTATCTCAGGATATAGGGAATTATGTAGCTCTGATGGGAAATCCTTATAGGCAACTTCAATCAATTGGAAACAATCCCCGAAATGTATCTTGAAAAGGGAGAAAAGACCTTTTTTCAAAAATGTACCTCTCTGTTCTTCCTATTTAAAGACATGTTTGCTGGTGGATGATCTACTTGCAGCCTAAATGACTTAGGCTTTTGCTGCCAGTTTTGAACGTTTGTAGGTTATGTTTCCTCTTGCTTCCTTTTTGTTTTCTAGGTGGCTGACTGTGCTTGGGATGAAACGATAAAGATATATGATCCTGTTTGTCTTACCATGCCTGCTTGAGATAAGCTACTCCATTCAGAAGCAAAGGATATTGACTGAAGAACATTGCTTAACAGGAATTAAATGATTGATAACAGAGATTTTATGCTTTTATATATATTCAGATTTCAAATTGTAAGTTTATTCTGGAATCAGTTTTGAGGCAGCTGATAAAGACTTTGGCTCACTATTTAAGCCTGGTACATAAGCCATATTTCTTAAAAACCTAAGAAATAATTGATGTTATGGTATATCATATAGTATCTATTAAAATATAACCTCTCTACTGTAAAGTGGATTAAATATAGAGGTCTGTAGACTATATGATAGTGATATATTTCATTTTTAATTTGTCATTTTTGATGTAAAATATAATCACTGCTGTTGATAAAAATCACAATAAACTGCATCCCTTGGTCATTTATGATTTTATGACACCCCCAGCAAGGTTGCTTTTTCTAATATAGTATCTATATGAGTATAATACTGTATAATATAGAGGTATCTATGGTTCAGTAGCAGGGTTCTAATAACTGCTGAATAAGTCAGCATGAGTCAGTCAGCCATACTGAGCAGCTACTCTATGCTTGACACACAGAATGAATGAGATTCTCTCAAGGATTGGTGTCTGTCATGCTTTAAGAACATGGAATGCTGAGAGTGAGGGCTTAATGTGTTTCTTACATTTAAACAAATACTTTTAGGTATTATATTCATGACCCTATATTTCTCTCCTCTTATTTCTCTACTATTATATCAAAAAAAAAAACTGGTCACTGGCCAAAAAGTCTTAAGTCCTACTAGGGTTTCAAGAAATTACCCTTGAAACTAAGTCACGAAAGCCCTAAGTAATGCTATAAACCCTCCTGACTACCTCCCTAAGACTTGAAAAATCTCTAGGTGCTGATGACCTGTGAAGAAAAGTAGATTAAAGGGAAAGATTAGTGAAATAGATAACTTTACATAACATTTATATTTTTATATAATATTAAAGTGTGTTATAAATGTCAAAAATTGTCATCAAATTTTTAACAAGTTTTTGAGAATTTTTAAAGAGCAAAACATACTTGTAATCAGAAAAATAAATAAATTAAAATAAATGTATATTTTCTAATTTACATATTTCCTGTTCACTTGGTACAGAAAAAATTGAGTGCTTACAAAATGCAAAAAACAAGACTACATAAGGCTTGAGGGCAAAGACTTCGTCCTAGTCCCAGGCTTGGCCCTAGCACCATGCCTGACACCTAGAAGGTGTTTAATGAATATTTGTTAAATGAATGCATGATCTCAGGGAAAGTATAACTTTTCAGTTTTTATACCAGTCAATGCTAGTTGTTTTTGAGAGGCCCCAGAAAGAGGACACTGCTTCACATGAGTGCATTGTAAGGAACAAGGAGCTCAGACATACCCTTTGAACTGTCAGGATGATGAGGTAGGTTCACAGAGCTGTTTCGGATTGCTTCCCTCCATAAGAACTGAACTATCAGACCAAGTGCAGTGCAGTAAAAGCCGGTTCACAGTGAATGTTCTCTGTATCAGCAGACTTTATAATTGACCTTTTAAAATACCTAACCCAGATCATATTTACAATGAAATGAAATTATTTTTCTTTTAGAATGCAAGAGATTTTTAAAATAAAATCATTTGAAACAAATACTTGTGATTTAAAAACTAACATCTCTCTTGATTTACTTTTCCCTCTATTTTGGGGATGTTAGAGATATTTGAAACACTAACTTCATATGCTTAACTCAGGTCCTTAGAGTCTCTCAATCTGAAGGAGGGTGGGTGAACATTTATCAGTGGGTTCCCTGGAGCTGGGATTGGAAAACTAGAGGGAAATGAGCCAGATTCTGTGCTGGAAGGGAATGCACAAGATTTTTGAATTCTTGGTAATTCACAAACCAAGCAGCCTCTGGGCTTTTAGAGGACAACCAGTCATTCTCTCTGAGGAAATCGGAATTTGTCTCCTAGCTACTGAATTCTTAGGTTTCATCCTGTCTGCCTCCCCAAGTTCCTCTTCCACCTGCAGTGACAGCACAGCTCTGAAGAGTGAATGCAGGAAAGGGGAACTCAGGTCACTGAGCACCATTTGTGATCTGGGCACTACATGAGATGCTTTCTGTAGCTTATCCCTTTTAATCTTGGTAATGTCCCTGCAAGGAAGCCCTCCCATTTTCCAGACAAGGAAATGAAGGCTGTTGGGAGTCATAATAAGTCAGGAAGTATGGAGCTGGAATTTGAAATCTGCTATGACTGAATCCAAGCCCATGGCTCTGCCACGTGGCCTCCTTTTCCTAGAATGAACAGAAGTTGGCCCACTGAGAAATAGGAATGATGTGGGACTCTTTGGTGACTAGATCCTGATCAGTCTGAGAGAACTGACAAAATTGTGTTTTCACATCTAAAGAGCTAAGAAGCTGACCCTGGGTCTGGAGTGACCCTACCAAGGTATATGACCCAGGGAGACCCAGGCTGAGAGTCCCCTGTCCCTTCTGCCTTTGGCATGTTTTAACTGTATATCTTAGCTATAATTTGGCTCTTCCAGGAATGAATTCATTAATTTCTTATTTAACAGGCCTCTTCTTGAATGAGATAATCCACTTATGTTTTTCACTTTTACACTGACTATTCCCAAATCTCCTGCCTTCTCCACTTGGGTCTCCCACAGCCTTTGCACTCATTTTCTTTCTTTTCACATAAGGGATTTATTTTATTTAAGTGTAGTTGATTTACAGTGTTGTGTTAATTTCAGGTGTACAACAAAGTAATTCAGTTATTTTCATAGATACAGATACAAATGTATATTTTTCAGATTCATTTTTCCATTACAGGTTATTACAAGATATTGAATACAGTTCCCTGTGCTATACAGTAGGTCCCCATTGTCCATCCATTCCACATGTAGCAGTGTGTATATGTTAATCCTCAAACTCCCAATTTATCCCTACCTTCCCCTTTCCCCTTTGATAACCATAAGTTTGTTTTCTATGTCTGTGAGTCTGTTTCTGGCTTGTACATAATACCCTCATTTCTTTTAACTAAACTCATCTTGCTCACTAAATGGGCTCCATCTGCACGTACTTTTTTCTTTTGTTGCCAGAACTGTCCACCCAGGCACTCAAGTAAAGTCCTACATGCCACCCTTGTTCCCTCCCTTATTCGCACCTCTCCACTCCAAGACACAGCAAATAGGTCACAAAGTCTCTTACCCCCTAAACACTTCTCCAGTCTGTCTCTTCCCCTCAGTCCAACCACTGTTGCCCTGGTTCAAGCCGTTATTAGTTTTTCTCTGGATGATCACAGAAGCTTCCTAAATGATGTGTCTGTTTCTAGTTCGGTGCCCTCGGAGCCATCCTCCTCAACACAGCTGCCGGAGGCTGATCTGAAATGCAATCTGATTACATCAATTTCTGTATAAAACCTTTCTCTGCTATAGGATTGCCTACAGGAAAAGTTCAAGCTCACTAACCAGGCAGCCAACGTCCTGTGGGGCTAAGCCCTTGGAGCATTGCTTCTCTCCACGTTGTCATGAACTTTGTGCTCCAGCAATACCAGTGTGCTCGCAAACTCCCCATGTAAATAATGCAGGTTTTCATTTCTGTCTTTGCTCAAGCTAGTCTATGTGCCTGGATTGCCCTGCTCTTGGCTTGGCAAGTTCTTACCCATCGTTTGAAAGTCATGTGAAATAACTAAAGAAAAAGTTTGACAACATACAAAAATTAAAATAGCAAAACACACCATAGCAAAGCTAAAAGACAGAAAACATATTGGAAGGATATATTTGCAATCTATGTAGCAAATGGTTTAATATCCAGCACTTATAAAGTGTGCTTAAAAATCACTAAGAAGACAACCAAACATAAAAGTGGGCAGAGGATATCAACAGGCAGTTCACAGAAATAGAAAAACAAATGTTTAATACACTTCAAAAAGATACTTAGTCAAACTTTGTCTCATTGATGACAAAGAAATGCAAATTAAAATGAGAGCCCATTTTTTTCTTGCTTATTAGCTTGGCAAACATTCAAAATATTGATAATATCCAACATTGATTAAAGTGAGAGTACTGTTATGTACCTTTCTGGAAGGCAGTTTGGCAATAAAGATTTTAAATTAACTCCTTGATCCAGCAGTTCCAGTTCTAGGACTCCCTGCCTGCACCCACCCTCCCCCACCAAATACTTAACAGACATATCTAAGATCAAATGTTTTTAGGGTATTCATTGCATCATTGCTTGGTAAAACGTAGACAGCTATCCAGAGAAGAAAGTTTATACTATAGAAGAGTCATTTAAAAGAATAAGGTAGAACTACGTGTGCTGACATGGATGAATAGGTTGCTACTGATACGTGTATTAATTATCTATTTCTGTGTAACAAATCAGCCCCAAACCTAGCAGCTTTACAGTTTCTAGCGGTTTGGAATCCAAGAGTGGTTGAGCTGAGTTGCTCTGGCTTAGAATCTCTCATGACATTGCAGTTAAGCTGTCAATGGGGTCTGAAGACATCTGAAGCCCAACTGGGGCTGAAGGATCAGCTTCCAGAGTCACTCACAGGATTGTGAGCTGGCCTTAGATACTCACCATGTTGAATCCTCCACTGGCTGTCCCACAGTCCCTACAACGTGGCACCTGGCTTCCCCCCAGAGTAATACCAGAGAAGGGGGAAATTCAAGAAGAAAGCCTCGGCCTTTTACACACTAATCTCAGGAGAGACGCCATCATTTCTGCTGCGTTTTGCTATTGGTCTCTTAGACCAACTGTGACAATGTGGGAGGAGGGGTTAACAAGGGTGTAAATATGAGGAAGCCAGAGATCTCTGGGGACTCTCTTGGAAGTTGGTTAAAGTGATATGATTTTAAAAAGAGCAAATTATAGACAAGTGTATACAATATCCTAATTTTATAAAGGCAATTATGTATGTATAAATACACGTACAAGAAAAACTGAGAGGTTCACACCAAACTCTTAACAGTAGTCAGCTCTGTGTAGTGGAACTGGGGGTGAGAATAGTGAAGAGAGCATGTTCATTTATTATTTATAAAGTTTGTTCATTTATTATTTACGAAGTTTTCCTTTTACATACTATAATGAGCATGTGTTACTTTCACAATTAAAATAATGAAATTAGACCTTATTTCCTCCTCCAGGAAGCCTTCTCTGATATGCTTCTCAAGCTGACATTATTGCCGTCCTCAGCGCTCTCCTGTTTCTGCCACAAGCCCCCACTGTTGCATAAGTGTCATTGTGTTGCTTCACTGTCCCCTCTGAATCCCTAAGGACTCAGATGACTGCTCATCTTTGACTGGCTGGCACAAAATACTTGCTCTGTATGTTTGTTGAAGGATTTACTTAATGCCATCAAAATTTATTGTGTAGCTCCTGAGATAATGGAGCTCGGGTCTAGACCCTGGATACCAGTAGGTCAAATAGCTTTTTGACCTTCAGCTCTACATGTATGTACAATTAACCTTGCTAAACATAGTATTCTTATTTTTCCCATTTTTCTTTAAGAGATTTCCCATTTTTCTTTTATGAGCTTATCTAATAACTCGTGTGGGAGCTGGTATTAATTTTTTAAAAAATGAAAGCCCTAATGGAAAAGAATTATATGCAGTAAAGTGGAGAAAATGTACTGTTTCATGCCAATGTAGGTTTTCAACATTAAGCTAAATATTCTTGTCTAAATGAGAAGGGTAAGATAGCTGAATCAGCCCCAAATCTTTTACCTAATGTTAGTATCACAAATGGAGGCAATTATAATTGCTGGCAGAAATGAATCATTCCAAAACTAGGTCCATGCAGACAATTCTTTATTATATTCATTTAATATGGCTCAAAGCAACAATCCTTTAATTGGAATGATCCCCAGAAGCAGAAATGTGTTATTTGCTGACATCTCAAAAAATTTAATTTTCAAAGCTTTTTAATCTGAGTGTACTTTGAGTATATACTTATACCACAACATAAACATAAATTCAACTGTTGCTTCAAACCTCATTATTTCCCAAAGAAAGAATGTCAACACTCGAACAACAGAGTTCCTAAAATAGCCAATAGTGTGTAACCATAGCTTGTAGCTACAAAAACCCAAGAATTCCCCAGGGAACCAGAAGTATAGGGTTCAGTATAATGCTTTCCAGTGTTATTCCTGGAAAAGTTGGCACAGTGGGCCGTTCTGCAAACGTTTTCTTGAGTGCCGACCTGTTAGGGGGCAGAGAGTGGGTTCCATGAGGCCCTGGGCATACGAGCTGGAGGACTGGTTGAAATCAGACTCTCTCCCACCAAAATGAGCTTCCAGACTACAAAGCCGGCCCAGATGAAGGATCGCAGCGGTGCCGCCAGACCCCGATGTAAACTGCTATTTTTCTGCCACGGCAGTCATAACTGTGGCTTCAGCCTCAGGGCTGGAAGTGTTGCTTTCAACACAGAGGTGGAAATATGGGGGGAAGAAACAAAAGACTTCCTAGAGAAATGGATCGTGAGTGTCAGAGCAATGTGGGGGTTAGAAGGTTGGGATTCCGGCGGGAATGGGGGGAATGGGAATGGGAATTAAGGGAAAGGAGAGGTGGGGCGCGGCGATTTCCAGCTCTCTTCTCAGCTCCCAAACCTTGGCCAAGTCAAGTTTTTAGTAGCGCGAAATCTAAACTGTGTCTGATTCTTAGCGGTGACCTCCGCTGAGCGAACCCGTCTGCTGCTGCTGCTGAATTTACGTGTATGGACATTAGCTTCCAGGGAACGAAATTCAGATCAAAGGGACATAGAAGTCTTGTGCCAGCAGAAAATGAGTTTCATTCTTTTTACTCTTAGCCAAATAAGAAGTAAACAGTTCACAAGTCCTGTGGCGGGCAGACGTGACCTGGGCCGAGGAGGCGGAGGTAGGGGTTGTCCCGTCCGGCCAAGTGGCTCGTGACGGTTCCTCAGGCGGCAGTGGGTTCCCGGGGATCCAGAGAGAGCTACACCCGGTCTCTGCCGTACGTCCGAGGCACCTGCCCCGTGGCCACGCCCTCGATCCCCCGCCTCCACCTCCATCTCCTTCCCCAGAGCGGCCAGTCGCTCCCCGCTCACCCAGGCTATCCACCGGAACCGAAAGAGGCTACTCGCTTAAGAGACTTAGTTTCTGCTTTTTCTTTGCGTGTTTCACATCTTTGCCTCACTTGAAACAGGTGCCCGTGCCCTCGCCCCCAGGCTCCGCAGCCCCGTGAGGCCACGGCGCCCCCCAGAACTTCCCCTCTACCCCGCTCCCAGCCGCGAACGTAGTCCCACGTCCCTCTCTGAAAGGCGCGCGAACTGGGGAGCGCGTCGCCCAGGGCAGGAAGGGGCCAGCTTCACCCTCTGAAGCACGCCCGGGCAGCGTCCTGGGGCCGTGGGTTCCTACAGTGTTGGGGCTTTGGCGCCCGAGCATCAGCTAGCCCCGCAGCCCGCTGGCACCGACGTTTTTCCCTTCCCTGGTTGAGCAAGGTCCAGCGGCTACGCTGGGAGGAACCGTGAGTGGAAAAGCAGCTGCAGCTCGAGGGGAATGGGGCTGAGGGCGCTGTCACTTGTTGCGGCTATTAAACGGTGCCCGACCCTGGAACCCTATGGTTTCTAACGTCTTTAGCTGTGCCCGGGATCCCCCAGCCCGCGCCCTTCACCTAGGAGCTGGGAAGAAGGGACAAACGGGGGCAGCTGGCAATGCAGGAAGAGAGAGTATCGCGTCCCGAGAGCCCGCCCGGGTGCGTGCTGAGTGCCCGAGGGGCGCGGGTCGAGTCCCGCTTGGGGCAGCTGCCCGGACTTCCAGCCGCAGAGCGTCCTCCCTGACGGTGACACCGCGCGGGACGCAACCCATCGTAGCTCGTCACCTACTTACAAATCGCTGTCGCTAGGATTACCGCCACTCCTCTCAGACCAGCCCCTCACCCCTGCCACTTTTCGGAGTCCCCCGCCCCCGCCACTGCCTCCCCGGAGCGGCGGGGCAGTCGGACGCGGAGCCGCCGCGCCGCGAGGACGCCTGGCTGGAGCTGCCCTCTGCAGCTGAGCCGCGGCCCCCCTGCCCCTTCGCCGCGGCTTTGGGCGAGCACCCTCGCCGCCCTCGCTCCGCTCCTCCCGGCTTTCTTCCCGCTCTCCTCCGCAGGTCCGAGCTCCGCCACCGCCGGGTGCAGGCGCGATGCGGCAGCTGT